CCTTCCAGATGAGATTTTTATAAGAGAGAAATGCATTCTCGGGATGAACATGTGTTGGTTAGGATATAAATCAGCTGCTGTAATAAAGATTCAGACTAACAGCAACTACCTAAACAAGTTCTCTCATGTACCAGAGCATGCATAGTCCAGAGGTACTACTGCAGTCCATAAGGTAGCAGGTTTCCTTTACCTTTTGCTCTGCTACCTGCTAAGGTAGAGGCCTTGTCCTCATGGCCAAAAATGGCTGACATTTTGGGTCTGTATGCTAGATGACAAGAAGGGAGAAAATGAGGAAGATACTCAAAGAGGACATAATCTTACGTTTAAAGGCAGAACCCAGATTTTTCATATCAATTACACTCACATCCCACTCACCAGAACTTAGTCACACAGACAATGCTAGCTGTTAGAGAAGCTGGGGAAAGTATAGACTTCTGCTGGGAAGCCATGGGCCCAAGCTAAAACTTGCAATTTCTATTACTAAAGAAAATAACTGAGACAACATTGAGACAACTAGTGGTCTCATAGATTAATGCAGAAAAGAAAATGACAGGAGATAGAAGGGAGAATGGGGAAAACAACTGTCCTAAGAATATAAGAAATTAAGATTCTACAGTGCCCGACTGAGGAGTTGCAGGCATGGGAAGCTATTCAGGGTTTATAAAGAATATCACTGGGCTTCCCTGGTGGCGCAGTGGTTGAGAGTCCGCCTGCCGATGCAGGGGACACGAGTTCGTTCCCCGGTCCGGGAAGATCCCACATGCCACGGAGCGGCTGGGCCCGTGAGCCATGGCCACTGAGCCTGCGCGTCCGGAGCCTGTGCTCCGCCACGAGAGAGGCCACAACAGTGAGAGGCCTGCGTACCGCAAAAAAAAAGAGAATATCACTAAGAGGGACTTCCCCGGTGGTCCAGTGGTTAAGACTCCATGCTCCCAATGCAGGGGACCCGAGTTCGATCCCTGGTCAGGGAACTAGATCCCGCATGCGGCAACGAAGATCCTACGTGCCACACTAAGACCCAGCACAGCCAAATAAATAAATATTAAAAAAAAAAAAAAAGAATATCACCAAGGAAGTCGTTTCTTTGCTTGCTAATTTGTTTGTTTTCTAGGAGGGTTTAAGTGCTGGTGAGATGTAGAACAGAGTGTGTGCAGATGTGTTGAGAGGGTATATCAGATAGGATGGGTAAGGTCCTTATTATTTGAAGTGTGGTCCAGGGTCTCATAGCATCAGAATCACCTGGGAGCTTGTCAGAAATGCAGAATCTTAGGCCCCCACTGAGACCTACAGAATTATAATGTGGCATTTTTACAAATTCTTTAGGTGATTAATATCACATTAAAGTCTGAGAAGTGCTGTGCTAGATTATGTTATGGTATGGAATAATCCTAAAATCTGTATCTTAAAACCACAGAGATTTATTTCTTACTCATGCTGAAAGTCCATCTGGGAGGAAGAGGGTGGCAAATACGTGACTGCTTCAACATCCTCACCTGGGCCCCAGCCTGACGGTGCCTCTACCATCTGAACGTCACCAGTCAGGTGGCAAGAGAAGGTAATGTGTGGCTCTCATGCTTCGCTCACACTTCCTTGGTCAGACAAATCTCATGGCCATGCCTATCTTCAAGTAGGTGGGAAGAACAATTCTACCATGTCCCTGGAAGGAGAGGACTCAAAATACTGGTGAAGCCAGGAGATCCCAGAGGTAGGGAGGCCTTTCAAAGGTTATCACAATATAGATGTAAACTTATCAGACACTGGGAAAGTATAGTATCCATAGGAAGGAGAAGAGCATGAACAACAACAACAAAAACATTTCAGGATAATTTGTCTGAAGAGATAGTCAAGGAAGACTCCCAGCTTTAGAGTCTGATTGACTGGGTAGAAATGAAAAACTGTGGAGGAATTGGTTGCAGTGGGGAGTGGGAAGGCTGAGTTTGGAACGGACATGCTAAATCAGAAATTAAGGTGGATATTCACCCTCCGCATGTATTTCCAACCCCTCACCGTGCTCCGGCCACACTGACCTTTCTGTTCCTTCATACACCAACCTTGTTCTCACCTTAGGATTGTTGTACCTACAGTTTCTTCTGGAATGCTCTTCTCTGGGCCTATCATGAGCTCCTGCCTGTCATTCAGAACTTAACCATAGTGTCACCTCCTCAGAAAGGCCTTTCCTGGTCATCCAAGTGTAGCCACCCAGTCATACATTATCACACCTCCTTACTACAGTTATCAGCATAGTACCTAAAGCTAACCGATAACCGATATTTTTATTGGTTGATCCCTCTCCCCCCCATTAAAAAGTAAGCTCCATGAGGTCATAGCCTCTGTCTATCCTGTACCACCAGCTTCAAGTACAGTGCCAAGCAAAGTTGGTACTCAATAAATACTTACTGAATATTCACATGGAAATTTCAGTTAACAGGTATGCAATAAGGGACATATAGATAGCGCTCCAATGAGGAAAACAGATTTGGAATAGTGAAGTTCTCTAAAGTATTAAAGATGAACAAGAAGCATTAAACCTTCAGGAATGTTCCCCCCTGTGGGTAGAGAAGCCTAGGAGACTCAGAAGTCTAAAGGGTAGAATAGAGTGTCTCCTGAAGCGAGGAAAAAGTTTCAGTGAGGGATGGGTCAATGGGGGGCAAGTGTTATCTCTTAGTCAAGAAAAATGGGAATAAGAAAAAGACCATTGGATTTGGAAAGATCATTTGTGACCAATGAATAAAGGAGTAAAAATGTAGGGCTTAAGGAGAGAAAGGACTTGGCAGGTATAGCTCATTACTGGAGTAGGTTTGGCAGTAAAGGGAATTAGTACTCCAGCAGGATTGAGTGGGTTTCTTTTTGTGAAGCCTATGGTTCGTAACTTGAAGTTAATGGATCCCTAGGGGGTCCACGAGTCACTGTCAGGGACACTGCAAATTCAGAAATTATAGGCAAAATTTTGTGTGTGCATGGGGGTAGGAGGTGGGGGGAAGAGGATTTGTAGTTTCATTTTTTTCCAAAAGGTCGAGACCCAAAGGTTAAATAGCCAGTGCTGAATAGGAAGAGAATAAGTTAAAAAAAAAAAAAGTTAAAAACAAAAAACGGAGACCCATAAAAGGGCTAAGCTTTAGAGAGAAAAAGAAAAACCTCTTTCCTAAGGAAAAGCTAGAAACAGATTTTTAAAAGTTCACAATTACATCATCATCTCAGTAAAAGAGGGAGTAAAGACAGATCTAGAAACACTGGGGAGACTTGTGCAAACACGCTCCAGTTAAGGGAGACTGAAGAAGCCGGGAAGACGGAGTGGAGAAAGCCTGTGTTCCTCAACCGAGCCCGCGGCCCTAGCAAAGCACCATCTGTGCAACGTCTCCGCCCAGGAGGTGGTGCTCAAGGCTGGGAACTGCTGGTATTGTTCTTTAATCAGTAAGTGCCCCTCTGAGACCCCAGCCGAAGCGCCTGGGATCGAGAGCAGTCTTACCACAAAAAGCATCATCACCGGGCAGGGGAGCTCATCAGTGAGTCAGCTCAGGGACAAGCTGTGCGTCCGACAAGCTTCCCCAAATTTGCCGTACTTTCCTGCGGTGTTTGGGCACCCTGCCCAGCCTCCCCACCTGTCGTCGTCTCTGAATCGTCCCGCCCCATTTCGACATCTCCCTTCCCCGCCTCCAGCTCTCGGCCTGGCGGAAGGCCGAGCGACAGCATGCCCCCGGAGAACTCATTCACTCAACAGCTGCGGAGTTTACTTGGCGACTCCGGGGCAAGCCCAGTGCCGGGCGCTAGGGCCTGAGGAGCATCAGGCCCTAAGGAGTCCGCCCGCGCGCAGCACGGAGGGGTCAATTCTCCCGACCTGACCGGAGTTTAACGGGCCTCCTCCTGCATGTCGCAACAGCTTTCCCGACATGCCGGCGGGCCTCGCCAGGGGATGCCCGGCCTCGGCCCGCTCCACCCAACGCCGGTCCGAGATCCCGCGGGAACAGAGCTCTCGGGCCAAGGCCACCCGCCAGCACACGACCCGCGAGTCCTGGGATTCGGGGCGGGCGCTCTAGAAGGGGCCTAACCGCATCCGTCAGCGGTTTGACCTTGAAGGCCAGGCACCGCCCTCCCCTCCTCCCCCGACACGATCCAGCTTGCAGCACCCACAGCTCTATGGGCGCCACTCAGGGCCCGAAATTCCCCCTCGATAGCCCCTGGGCGCTTCGCCCTCTTCCTGTAGCCAATCGGATCCCGACATAAAACTGGCCAATGCCCGCGCTCAAAGTATCAAGAGTCGTTGAGCCTATCAAAGTTCAGCCTTAAGTCTCTCCCGCCCCCCCAGAAAAGTAGGAGGGCGGGTTGATCTTACATGTTGGCCAATCAAGTAGCCAATAAACAAGAAGCTTCCAAGATCAAAGGGGAAGGGGTGGGATCTAAGCTGTCGCAACGCCGCGGGGCAGAGGAATGACAGGCAACTTCACTAATACCACAGACCTATATTTTCTACGTAATCCGGGGGCGGGGCTATCTTGACGGCTTCACCAATGGCTGACTGAGGGGCGTGTCCTCGGGGCCAAGCGGGAGCCCGAGGCCCCGGGCTCTCTGGGCCGCGCCTGAGGCAGACGCAACGGGGCTGGGGGGCGGCGGCGGCAGCGGCGGCAGCGACAGCGGCGACGGCGGCGGCGGCGGGGGTGGGCGCTGCAGCTGGCCCGGGTGGATGGAGTTGGAGGGGCGG